CTTCCCATTCACACCCCACCTTATATGCACACATCTACACAGATTCAAATGCTATATACACGAGTTCTCAGGACCCTAAACCCTGCCACCACTCTCTCTAGCTCCTCCCTGGTCCAAGCTGCTCTCCATCTGTGTATGCCAGCCCGATCCTGGGCAACGCAGCTGGAGAGTCAAAGGATGACTACAATGCCTTTCTCTTGGCCACACCAGACACCAAGATCCAGGTGCGACAGGTTAGCAGAGGTGCTGGAGCCCTTAAAAGTCGCTCCTTGGGAAGATAGGTCTGATTGTACATAAGGTCTGTTTGAGCAAACTGGCACTTAACAACCCAAACAAACAGGCCAGATAAACTGGGCCATGGGCTGAGGTCCGGTGAGATAAGGGCAGGGAACACCCAGGTGATAACTGCCTGGGAGATGAGTCTCAGTAAGCACCAGCCTTTGTCAGCTCTGCCTCATCACAGAGGGCAGGGCAGCGGGGAGCTGAGAGCCTGGGAAGAAGAACTTAGCCCTGGGCTAAACATTAACCCTATGGTAAACACATGGAGCCGGGACCAAGTGGTACTCCCTCCCGCCGAGGGGACAGCAGGAGGGAGGAGCCTTGGAGAACAACAGATGGATTTTGGTGGAGCAATGACCTCATCTAGGAAAAAACCAGTAAGACCCTGAAAGGAAGCCCTGGCCTTCCAACCAGCCCAGGTAGGGAGAAGCCAGATTGGATAAGGGTGAACTCGGGTGACTGACAGGAAAGGAGAGAGACTGGATGTAATGCAAAAAGGCAGAAAGAGTGAGGGCCCATCAGGGGAGATAGGATGAATCTGAAGAAAGCTATGATTGGGCTTGAATGGAGAAAGGGGTGGGAAGACCATTCAAGGTAATAGGTACCACAGGTGAGATGGATGAGGTGGAGGAAGCGGTGCTAATTCTTAGAACAAGAGGCCAGCTTCCCAAGGGTAGCAGCAGCTTCTCTTTAGTATAATCACCTTCTTCACTGCCCACCGTCCTTTCTGCAAAACCCTCCATCCACGCCTACCCAGCTTTGTTCTCTTGCTCTAAAACCTATGCCAGTCCGAACTCCTGGGTCACTCCCCAGGGGCAGCACCCCCTCACCTGCTCCTCATCATAAAGCTAGCACCATCAAGTCAGGGGCTTTCAAGCGCTTCAACTATTGGGGCCTGGGATACTGTCCTCTGATTTCGGTAATGCTCCTTCTCTGGGTTGCCAAGGCGACAAGTGACCAACAGGAAAGAGATTTGAGGGAGATGAGAAGAATACAGTAGCCCACATTGAGACACCAGAGATAAGACTTCTCTGATCATATGCTTCACCCAAGATGCAAGTTTCACATGCCCAAGGAGGGGCCATCTTCAGAAGGGCAAGTGTTGTCCCCCTTCATCTGAGGGCCTGCACCAAGGCTGTCCACTCTCAATTCCTACCCATGGCTCCCCACTGAATTCAGAGGCCTGGCTCTGCTTCCCCTCTGTCTCAGGTCTACTGGAACTGCACCTCCCAAGTTGAAGCCTTGATATATTAATCTAAGGCAGTGGTTCTCAACCTGGGGGTCGCAACCCCTTTGGGGTCAAACAACCCTTTCACAGGGGTCGCCCAGTTCATAACAGTAGCAAAATTACAGTTATAAAGTAGCAATGAACATAATTTTATGGTTGGGGTGATCACAACATAAGGAACTGCATGAAGGGACACGGCCTGAGGAAGGTTGAGAAGCACTGCACTAGGGGCTAAAAGTGGGACGAGGGCCCTGGGTGAGTAGCTAACAATTGCGCAGTTGGAGCTGGTGTGGCCTTCTCAGCACACTCTTAATCCAAACACCTCTGAACTGAAAGCAGAATTCTCACAGCTTAGCCTTTCCTGGTGTCGCGGTGCTGAGTCATTGCGCTCTGTGCGGTCTACTCTTTAGAGTAAGGTAGTCTGTCATTGTGGTAAGGACCCTTCCCTGTCTGCCCAGGCAAAATAAAAATAAAATGCTTTTCAACACCTGCCGGAGAGAGGCATCGAAGGCAAGGGGTGGGAGATGGGCAGAGAGGCGCTGGACGGACCTCCATAAATACCGTATCAGAACCTGGTCCTTGCCCACTTCTCTCCAATGGGGCACTTGAACAGCACAATGGTGCCCACTGCGCTGAATCTTATAGGAGGTCTCTACCTGTCCCTAGAGTGAAGGTGTATAACACCTTAACCTAGCTAAAGGACTTCTAGTGCACTGAAGAAACCCCAGGTGTCAGAAAAGCTAGACAGCTTATACTACTGAAGTTGGATGATTTTTAAAAAGCCATTATCAGAGCTGAGAAGGGGAGACATGGTCCGCTGTCTGAAAGTCATATCCCCAGGTCCCAGGGCCAACACAGAGGCAGTCAAGGCTGGAAGCAGGTTAAGGGGAAGCAGGTGAGTACAGGAAGGCCTTCCTGTTTAAAAAAAAAAAGTCAACAGACTAGAGGGGAGGGGGCAGTGGTAAGAGGGAGGAGCTTTGTTTTGCGCCTTGCTCCCATGGTAAGGTACCTCACCAGTGGAATGTCCCTCCACTCCCCAGGGGTCTTGCGAAGTCCCAATTGTTTCACAGTGTCCTCCCCTTCTGTCTCTCGCACCCAGTATCCACCTGGTATTTCACTGCCCACCTCCATGGACATTCCACTCTGTTACTGCCCCACCCCCAAGTCAGGAACACATCGCGGAAGGTTCCAGCTCAGGCAAAGGCCAGACTCCAGCCACACCGGCAGGCCCAGGAAAGGCTGCCTGGAGCCACCCCGGCATTGCAGAGGAGGGAAAGGGGGAGCAGCAGGAGGGCATTTCTTGATGGTCCCACAATTCCTACCAGCACTGCTTCTGAAAGGATCCAGAGCAAGAGCGTGGGCTACGAGGGGAAGGAGACCACTAAATGCTGCTGGGCAGAAGTCCCTGGCCAACACATCCTTGAAAGTTAGTGATCTGTGTTGGCTGGAGAGTTGGTCTGCTAACCACCAGGGTGGTGGTTCACACAAGCAGGTGCCCTGCGGAACAAGATAAAGCCACCTGCTCTCCTAACGACTCACAGCCCCGGAAGCCCTACAGCCCTACACCAGGTCTCCACGAGTCAGAACCAACTCAACAACAGCAGGAGGTTTGGAAAGAGTCAATCATGGGATTCTGTACGGCCTTCAGGAGGAAGGGCAGTGCAAAGAGACAGTCTGGGGAAGAGAGGGCAAGAGGCAGCAAAGAGCTGGGAGAGTGTTGTGGAGGATGATTTCATAGTTACTTGAAGCTGGAATGAGGCCCAACCGTTCGACTGTCACTCCAGCCGTGGGTGGAAACACAGGGAAGCAGGATTGGGCCCAGGTGTGTCCAAGCAGCAGCCCTTATTTCTAACCTGAGTTTGTGCTGAGCTGAGTGCTCCCACTCGGTCTGGGGTTGAGAGAGCAGAAATTAGAGGGGAGGGGACAGGAAAGAGCAAGAGAGAGAGAAAGAGAAAAGAGAAAGCCAGGAGGCTAGAGCTTAGCGAAAGGAGAGGGAACACGGAGTGGCGGGGAGGAGAAGCTGGAGAGTAAAGGGCAGGGAAGAATATAAGAAAGGAAAAGGGGGACAAAGCAGTCAAGAAGCAAGGGAGAGAAGAAATAGAAAGATGAGGCGGTGGAACAGGGGGAGGGAGAAGGGCAGCAAGGGTCCAAATGTGAGTCTGTGGCCAAGTGTTTCCATCCCCCAGGAGTACCCATCTGCACAATACAGGATCAGAAGGGTGGGCAGAGGAGTGGAAAGGACAGATAGGTGAAGGATGCCTGGTGGCCCAGAACAGCCTGGCCTGGGGCAGTTTCCAGGAAAGCAGACCACCCAGTCACCCTTCACCTTTGACATATAAGAAGCTTAGAGATCAGGCATGTGGACTCTAAGCAAGTGGCTAGGGAGGTGGTGGAGGCTGTGGCTTCCTTTCCGTCTCCAGCCACAACTCCCCACCTGCTGGCACAGCCCACCAATCTCTGCCCCCTTTGGTGCTCGCTAGGACTAAGGACGCCGATCAATCAACACTCTCTGGGACAGGCCAGCCACGGAGCGGCTCGAGGTCCAAAGCCACAGAACTGACCGACATGGGCCTGCCTTTGGAGACTCCCTCGGTATCATGGAGAAAATACACACACTGGAAGTTTTTGCCCACACTCCTCCATCAAGCCGATATTCTCCCTCGCCTCCATCTTCCTTCCCCTTAAGCAGAATGTCCTTCTCAACAAGTGCCATCATAGCCTGCTCCTACTCTACCAGCTCCACGTCCATGGTGCCTACTGAGGTAGAGGCCTGTGTTGGGGCAAGGGCGAAGGGGGATAGTGTTCAGGAAAGCAATCAGAATCAATATGGAGAACAGTAGACTCAGAAAATGGAGGCCAGGTCAGATCTCAGGGGGCAAACTGAGGGAATTCAGCCAGTTGTCCTTTGAGGGAAATTCTGTGTGACTGACAGGTGAGGCCTTTGCAGGATGGCGCATGGAGAAGTTGGTGGCCGCAGCCCCATGGATAACCCATGCGATGGTCCCCTTTCCCTCATAGCCCTAAGAGCCGTAGATCTCTTTGAGGAGGAGACTGCCCTTGAGGAGACTGAAGAATGTTGAGGGCAGAAGGCAAATTCTATTCAATGGCACAGCCTCTTGACAAACGGCATTTCCAGCTGCATTTCCACTAAAATGTAGAGGTCAAGGGAGGGAAGCTTTGACCTTAAGTTCAGGCCTCTGTCTGGCCTCCTGTAGAAATGTAAGAACCTTATATGAGATGGGAGATGAGCTGAGCTCGCTCTCCTGTTTCTCGTGGAATGAAAGCATTCCTGGCTATCCTGGGCGGCTACAGAAGAGAATCCGTTTGATCCGGCTTTGCAGGGAGGGCTGGAAATGGGGAAATCCCGTCTTCTCTGTTCCTTCACTTTGCTCAAGCCTACAAGGGATCCAGGCTACCCTCCATTCCCCTGCCCACCTCCATTCCCCCACCCAGGTCACACATACCCAGCAAGAAGAGAAACAGGAATACTTACATTATACCAACTCTGGCTTTTCTGAAAGGACAAAATAAGAGAAGGTAAAATTAGTCGAGGAAGAGGTGATGGGAATGGCCAGGACACCCCCAGCCCAGAGGGAAGGTTACACAGACAGCAGAGGGTGGGCAGGGAAGAGGGGCCCAAATGCAGCTAAATGCTTCCCACGCTGCTGCTCCGGAAGGGTCCTTCTTTCTCAAAACAGCTCCAGAAAGGAGTCCCAGGAGCAGTCCATGCTGGAAGCCCCACCGCAGTTGGGGTGGCAGGCAGCGGCAGCACCAGCTATAGCTCAGTCAAAAGGGAATTGGAGCCCCGTCACAAGGCTCTTCTGATGGGGGTGAAGGATGTGCTATTGACATCCAAGACCCAGACCCAAAGTGATCAGAAGCAAAGTATAAGAAAAGACCACCCCGTCTTTCTGCGCTAAGTCAATGTCCTCAGTAGAAAGGAGGGTAGGGCACTTTGAGAGGAAGAGCAGAAAAGAGGCTGCCTGCAAGCTCCAGAGTTTGCATTTAGTAAGCAAGTGGATCATGGAGTAAATTCCATCTTCTAACGACTGCTAACCTCCTATCTGATAATGGAGAGACAGTAGTGAGGGGCTTTATATGGGGAGAGAGGTTGAAGCAGATTATTGGCACAAGCCCTTTCCAACTGTGTGATGCCCTCATTTAATACCAGACTCCTCTACTCCAGCTCCAGAATCCAGACTTTCCCCATCCCAGCTCTGCATGGTAACTGGAAGTTTCTTAGGGGAAGGGGAGCAATCGCTAGACTGTGCCTTTGTCTGTTTCCAATTCCCACAGCTAAGAGTTCTTTACTGCACATCCCACTGAGAAGATAGGGACACCCCCCCCAACACACACACACACACACATTTACCTAGGGGCCATCTCATGAGATGCAGCTACATTAGGTCAAGATGGGGACTGCAGTATTTTCATTTTTAAAAGTTTGCCCAGTATGTGATGATGCTGGAGAATCGCTGGGGAGAGGGAAACTGCCTGCAGGTCAAACACCGTATGCTGTGTCCTGGGACAATTCTAAGTGTTTTTCCCTGGTTCTAAGCTCCGCTCCACCACAACTTGCAAGGCAAGATGAGGGCAGCCCCTGCCATGGATGTCTGTCGGGTACATGTCTGGTGGGTTAAAAGTGATTATGTATACAAGTACAAGTGAGTGTGGCTCCTGCGGTAATGACCATGATGACTCTCCCAGACCCACCAAGAACTCTACAGAGCTATTCTACCTCCACTCTGAGAAATCGCCAGAGCTGGAGACGGAGGGGGTGGGGGTGGGGGTGGGGGCGTTGGGGAGGGTTCGACCTGGCTGAAGCTGCCTTGTTGTGAGTGGGTTGAGTTTCATTTCTATACCTGACCTCGCTGGTCAGGCAGGCTCCCAACTCCTTTTACAAGATGCCCTCCATGGTCAAACCACAGGAGCTATGGCCATGCAGATTCTGAGCACGGCTGAAAACTGGCCTCTATAGCTTCCCGGCTCTCCCTCCAGAGGAAGGATGGAGCACGTGAGCTGCCTCTGCTCTGCGTGACCTCTGACCTCATGGGCCCACCCCGAAAAGCCCTGCTGCATACATTACCAAGGTCACAGGGCAGGCGGCTGTGGCAACAGTCAGGGAAGTGCATGTCTCGGTGGTGGCTGGGATGTGTTCTGGGCACTGCTAAGCTCGCATTTTGAAAAGGGCCCACATTCTCTCTGCATGTTGTGGAATCAAAACTGCTTCATGGCAGAGACAACTCTCTGTCCCGCACCCCTTAGCCCATCATCCCTTGGTTCTGTCCCCAACGACCCCAGGAGAAGAAGGGAGCTTCATCCAGGGTAACCACTCCCCCATTTTTCACAAGCCTCAGCCTGCAGCATTTGCTCCCTTCTAAAGGGAAGCATGAATAGGTGCTCAAGAAGGTTGAGAAGAAATGGGAAAGTGTCTAAGCAAGGACTTTTGGCTTGTCTTCCAGTTTGAGACTCCAACCCTGAACCAACTATTGCTGGCAGTTTCCTTTCACCACCCGGAGAATGGGGCTCCACCAGTTCAGCCAACGCCATCTGTGGTCTCTGGGGATGGCCCACCAGGGCAGGAGCTCCCAACCATGACCCTGCTCCTCAAGGCACAGTCTACAGAGGGCTCTGTCAGGAAGAGCCCATGGTTGGTTGGCAGGGATGCCCAGGCCTCTGAGGGCAAGAGGAGAGGCCTCCACTGCTGCAGGCATGAGAATGCCTGCCCTTGTGAGTTAGCCGCGAGGCCAGAAGGAAGGAAGGGGCAGAGCTGCGGAGAGGAGGAGATGGGTGTTCTGACAGACCACCAAGGAGCAAGGAGTCAGGAAAAAGTGCCAAAGGGCAGAGCTGTAGTGGATGGGGAACTGAACAGAGGGCATATCTGTCACCTTTCTGAGACAAGGTTTGAAAGGAAAACTCCCACAGGAATGCATGGATGCAGGCCCAGGCTTCCTCGAGGTGCTTTCTAGGCCTGCCCCATCATGATCTAAGAGGATCAGCACTGTGCAAAGGCACGTGGGGTGGGGGGAGAGGGGGGGAGGGGGGCAGGAGGACTCAGGAAAGAAACAAGGGCTTACTTTGATCAGGTTAAGTCTGTCATACTAGAAGGTAAGTCACAAAGATGAGAGTCGAAAAAAGGAAAGAAGCCAAGGGGAAGAGGGGTCTCTGTGCCCCAGAGGCTCCCGTGATGCCACCCGCCCACCCCCCACCCCCACTGCGCCAGGTCTGGATCCTCCGTATGAGGCAAGGGTTTGCTTCTTCGCCTGTGCAAGGTGGGGGCGGGGAGAAAGGAACGGTGACTTCCACCCCTGCCATCGAGGCGATTCAGACTCACGGCAATCCTATAGGGCTGCGTAGGCCTGTCTGTGGGTTTCCGACACTGTGACTCTTTAAGGAGTAAAAAGCCTCTTCTTTCTCCAACGCAGTGTCTGGTGCTTTCAAATGGTTTCCAACTGCTGATCTTATGGCCCAATGTATCAGCACTAGGGCACAGGGCTCCATTGTGGACCATGAGACCCTTATTCTCAGTAGCTAAGTTCTTGGCTCCCTCTAGTGTACAAAGCCATCACTACAGAGCAGAAGCAAACGCAAGCCATTGTGACCCTGTAGGACAGAGTAGAATTGCCCCTGAGGGTTTCTGAGACTAAATATTTAGGGAGCAGAAAGCCTTACTCTTCTCCCTAGAGCAGAATCAGGATGGCGGCAAAAATTCAAGATGTCCGGGGATTAGGATAAGGCTTCAAGCCTTTGGGCCCAGCGGTGGGCAGGGCTGAAGCCAGCCTTAGCGATCACCTTGTCCAGCCACTACATGTTAGCAGATGAGGGATCGAAGGCCTAGAGAAGGAAACAGATACCATGCCTTGGGCCTGCCTCTAGCGTCCGACTAGCAGGCAGGAGATGAGGAGGAAGTGGCCCAGTTAGCTGGCTGACCTGAGACAATGCTCCCCTGGCAGACCCTCGTCTCCTCACTGCCTCAGCTCCTTCCCCTCACACCCTGCTTCACAGAGCCTAATTCCTGTCCTGGGTCTGGTGCTACTCTGAAGCCTCCAGGTCCTAAACTTTCATCTCCCAGAGCAGCCTCTGCCGTCGCCAGTCCCGCCTGGAATGGCACTGTCCTTCAGCGAGTCCCAACACACCCATCTGCCTTCCTTGCACTTGGACGGTGGCAAGAGGAGGGCTGGTGAGAGAATGGGTGGCAGAGCAGGTCTCCTAAACCAGAGAAGTCACAGTGCGTGTGTATTGCCTCTGCCCAATCTCCTCAGTCACCTCTTTGCAAAAGGGGCCAAGATTAGTCCTCTCGTCATGCTTAGCTCCTGTTCGCTTCATAATCCTTCATTTTTTCCTCTCCAGAATGCCCCTTAGAATTCTTGACTGGCTCAGTGCCCCCTGCTTGCTGAAACATTTCCCAACTCCCTCCCCCAGAAGTGATTTCTCCTGCTTTTGAAGAGGTCTGAATAGTAGGTCATCTGGGTGCTCTCCTCAGCTTCCCAAACTGTCTGGGGTGGGTGGGGGGACTTGATCTTTACCTGCCTGTTCCCTACAGAGCTGCCATTTGAGAGGTTTCAACATTAAAACAAAACAAAACCCCTCATGACTGGGTACTCACCTCCACCTGACCAAAGCAGGTGGTCACTAACGAACATAAAGATCCCTCTTGGCACTGAAGATTCAAGAGGTACCGTGCTCAACACAGAGGCAAGAGAGTGAAGAAGGTGTGAGTTTCATGTCACAATGGAAATGTAAGCAGAAGTAGAGCGGGTACAACCTGATTCCAACTCAGGAAATAGGTGCCACCCAGTCTCGTTATCAGCTAAGTCAGCGGTGTAAAGGGCTCAGGAGGGGCTGGCAGTGGACATCTCAAAATGTTAGTCCCCACACATGCCAGTACCCCCACCATCTGACCCCACAGAGAAGTACACTGGCTCCCCCACTCCGGTTCAACCCTCCTTGTCCACAGGCCCAAACAGTCATCCCAAATCCTCAGAGCCAGGAGGTGCGTGTAGCCTGAAGTCACAAACTGCAAGATCCACCCTGCAGTCTCTGCTTTTGGCCTCAGGAAAGAATAGCTGTCCGCCCTCTGTCTCCTCCCCAAAATGCTTTCAGAGACGTGAGACTTGTTTAGTTACCCCTCAGCTTTCTCTTCTTCAGGCTACATCCCACCCCCTTACCCTGTGGGTGTCATTTCCTGAGTCCTCTCGTTCTAAAAGAACTATTGCTCACTTTCCAAGTTCTCCTCGGCTCTCTAAAGTCATGGGCCCCTGGCTCTACCTCCCAGACATGCCCACATCTTTCCAGGACCTGGCAGGTGCTAGCCTCTAACCTGCTAGAAATGCTCAGCCTCCAACCACACTCCAGGCTCGTACAAACACCGGGACCCCTGGGCTGGGTGGTGGGTGGGAGCAGTAAGGGGGCACTCAAGCGGAGCCACTCTAAGGAGGTACATGGAAGAGGGCATCAGTGAGGGCTTTTGAGATCACTGCCATCCACTAAGTAAGTTACTGATGTGTCCTCACGACCCTCAATCACCTCTTGCAGACACGCAATCTCTCTGTGGGCCTTCCAAAAATTCTGGGGTCAAGTTTCATTATTTTTTTAAAAATTATGCAGTCTTCCAAACTCTTTGAAGTGCTCTTGTACTTCTGGGGA